CCCCAAAACCCCAAAACCCCAAAACCCCCAAAGTGCTTAAGTGATGACTATTAAAGATATTTAAGATTAGATAAAATATTTCAAAATTATAAAATTAATTTCATTATGTAGGTATTAATTATCAATCATTCCAATCAAAAGTTTAATTAGACTAAGTCTCGACTTACACCAGAATACCCTAGGCAGAAGTGGATTAAGTTGTGTGACCCACTATTAAAACCCATCCTTATCAAAGGGGCATGCCAGCTTGCTACCTCTAAGATGATTCTTCCATCCAGAATTACCCATAGAACTCGGGATCACTACTAAAACTGATATGAGTGTTTACTAAGTTACTTTCTGTTCCTCCAGTAAAATTTTGACTTATCAATCCAATAAATTTTGATTTTTGAAGGTTTGTCATATTGCCATTGGTGTATAAGGTTTGTGTTATGTCTTTGCTAATAAGCTCCATGTTCAATAAGGAACTGACAGCTATAGAGTATACTATGAGGCTCAGATAATTGAATGAATGCTCAGATAAGAGTAGAAATGCATAGCTTTATGGGAGGAAAGAGATATGATTGGATCAACTAGGCAGATTGAAGATGTGCAAGTGCTGACTGCTATATAATTTACTATGATAGTTGATGAGGTGATAAAAACAAGAAGTCTCTAATAGAAGAGCGAAAACGAACCATTTACCCTATTCATGCTCTAAAGCCTTATATGACTTCAAGCTATCAATGATTCTTAATTAAGCTAAATAATGTAGCTCAATAAGAGTCTTTCGAATTATAATTGCTTTGAATATGGTGAACTAAATTTCAAGTAAAATAGATCTCACACATAAACACAAAAAATCCCTCAGTCTAGGAGAAACTCCAAATTTTAGTGCTAGCTATTTAAATACATATGAATCATTAAAATACCAGGATTATGATTTGATAGTATATTAAAGTTTTTACTCTATATTTTGGATAAATAATTATTTTGTTAGTTTCGTATTTTGTATCAAGGGGTTTTGGGGTTTTGGGGTTTTGGGG